GTTTGGAAGTTCAGAGCGGTAAAGCTTTCCATAGGGAAAATTCATATGGATCATGTATACTTGTGTCGGAATAGGCAGGTAAGTGAAGTCAGTGACAATTTGTTTCCTAAACCAGCACGTGTTTGTAATGAAAGGAGGTGCATTTAGCCAGAACAAACTAGGCAATACTGCCCAAGTATACCAGAACGTATGTTCATCTAATTTACACATGTAATTTCTTAGTAAATCATGCAACTGTGGGAGCAAGCAGGATTTAGCTTGATATATAAATATCCTGCCCAATAACAATCAGCACAAGGAAGGGTGATTGAAGAATACTAAATATTAGAATTTTTTATTTTTAGTTTTAGTTTTGGGATTATAATTAAATTTCTCCCTTCTGTTCATCCCTCCAAACCCTTCCAAATACTAAAACTGATCTCCTTCAAATTCATGGCCCTCTTTCCCCACCAATTGCTATTGGAATATATATATATATATATATAATGTATATATGCATATATAGAGAGAACTTTTGCTTCCAGCTGCAATAGTCTCTCTTTATCCGTAGATTATTCATTGCAATCACCAGTGAATGCTTGAAACCATGAATAATATTGAATGTTATATTGACTTTCTTTCCTAGATACATGCACATATGTTGAAGGTTGTTTTATAGAGAACATACTGTAAGAATTAATAGTTACTTAAGAAGTTCAGCAGAAATAACAATATGCTTAAAGTGATATGTTTGGTCTCTCACCTTGTAGTAATAGATGATGATGTGATATGATGCAAGCTCATGTAATGAAACAAAGTGAAGTGAATGATATGGGCCTTGTGGAGCTGTGTTGAGTTGTTACTAGTTGTTGACAGCTGATTTGACAACAAAGATGACAAATTTGTGGCTGACAAGTGGGCTACATATGCACTTTGGATTCAATAAACAAAGTTCGAATCACACTGGGGGAGGCACAGAGCCTGGAAGTTAATCATACTACTCAGAATGATCTTAGAGCTATAATTGATGAATGACTTTTCTCTGTCATTTTACTTTCAATTTTTTTCCTGATTGTTGACGATATGTAAATGAAACTTTGGAAAGCAGAACCATAGATAATGGAAGACTGATATGTTATAATATAACCATCACAGCCCACTGTCTCAATGGAAACAATCATGAGACTGAGTGTGCTATATGGCACAATCATTTCCTGACATTAGCGTCTGGGCAATATAGTACTGTGAGCCTAAGAAAAAAGAAACTGCTGAAAGACCCTCCTGTATCCTGCAGAGTCTCTGGGTAGTGACTATTTATCAATTTTGACATAAAAAGTATGTGTTTATGCAGAACATAATTTAGAGCAGGTGATATTTCTAAAATTTGTGAAGTTGAAAACATAGAATTATTCAAAGGAAAGATCTAGGAATCTGTGAGTAAGGTTCTACAGTACAAAACTGTTCAAAGATCACCCAAGAACTATTGTTATGAGATCCAAAATTGTGAATGCCAAGCATTACTGGTGTGTTGAAAGTCCACCACGCGAACTGCAGAAATATTTGTCACTTGGCAAGATGGCCCATGCTTATAATTTCAACACCCAGGAGATTGGGTCATGAGGATGACTGGCTTCATTTTCTAAGTCAGGCTAGGCTACAGAGTAAGGAGCTGCCTCAAAATTAAATAATTGATTTAGTTCACTAATTAAAACATAAGTATCTTGCTTTTTTAGTTTCAATGTCTTGCACCTGTAAATATGGAGTATTTAAGATCAGATATAAGCTAATACCTATCTTTAAGGCAAACGACTACACCTCAGAATAAGGCAGACCATCTTAACAAAGCTGAAAACTAACCCTTGATATTTTTTCTAGAGGTATACAATGGGAGACAAAATCTTGCTAAGACAGAAGAGCTTGAAAAAGTTTTACTGCTTTTTATAGGTTTAAACTACACTTTTATAGATTTCAATATAAGGGACCAGACATTGAACTGTAAGACAGAAAAAAAACTACATTCCTCAAAAGGAGGTGACTGGTTTGTTTTAGCATACAATCTTCAGGGTGAAGTAAGTAAACTTACAGAGATGCAGAAAAAGATGGCCACTTACCACAGGAGAAAAGAGGTCAGAGGTCAATATATCTAAAATATCTCATTATCACATTTAGCAAAGATGTCAATGTGTGGATTAGAAATGAGTTTGAAAAACTAAACACAAGCCTCGTCTTTTATAAAGTTATTCAGAATCTTGCAGAGATAGAAATGGTAGAGGTCCTGAAACTGAAAGGTAACAGCCATGAAATATTGGAATGAAGATAAGAAGAGAGAGGCATAAAAGTTCTCTATAGCATTAGATATAAATTACCCTCTCTGAACAAACCAAAGGAGAAATGTTGACAAATTAAAGTGGGTAGAACTTCTGGAATTTGTAAAGTTGACACCAGATAGAATTTTGTAGAGGAAAACCTAAAAGTCTAAGGAGGTAATATTAAGGGACATGGTAGCATATCAGATAACGAACATCATTTAAATATTTCTAATGAGTCCTGGTTAAGACAGTAAGAACTGAGCATAAACCTGTTTAAGAACATAGAACCAAAATTAATCAAATTTCATAAAATTCACCAGCTCATAAATTTTAGAGACACAGAAAACACCAAGCAAGATAAATACAACGAAAACCATGTCTGAACAGCTCACAGGAAAACTGCTAAAGTACAAACACAAAGAAAAAAAAACAGGCTTAGAAGTTGGTGGAGAAGAAAAACAATACACTGAAGACAGAGACACACAATATAAATGAAGGTTGACTTCCCACCAGAAGTGCCTGAAACCAAAAGACAATCAACCAGTACCTCAAGTGACAAAAGGAAAAGAATCTTTCCAGCAAAAACACCATTTAAATTACTTGTCAAATGCAAAGCATTTGCAGATAAACAAAATCCAGAGAAATTACTCACCAAAGCCATATCTTCTAGAATTGCAGAAGAGTAATATTCAAAATACAAAAAATAATATGTGAAAGAAACTTGGATCTATGGAGATAAGACAAAAATATCAGGATAGACGACTGAGGAATACATAAAAAACTGTGCTTAAAAGAACACTGACTACTTATGAGAAACATGTATAATGATAGATAAAATAGCAGAATAAAAAGATAGGTTTAGCTAGGTAGATGTAACTACACTGTTAAAAGTCTACTATGCTTGTGAATTGACAGAGGGAAATTTGGATAAGAAGTCAAAGAAAGAATGCTCCCTCATAGGACCTTGGTAAGTTAAGGATGCGCAGTTGCTTCCTTAGCACAAGTTCAAGTCAGAGAAAACAATAAGGGAAGTGATGCCAAAGAATATTCAGACAAAGTATTATTAGCACTCTCCAAAACACCATACCTATCCAGAAAACTCAGACATGAGGAATTAGAGAAATACATTGTTGTTGTTTTTAAGCAACAAGTAGAAAAACAGCAAGACCATCTCAATCCTTTCTATGAGATACTCATTAAATTTAAAGGAACAGACTGATTGTTAGTAGCAGGAGACTAGAGTATAATCTCTGTAGATAGTAATAGAGAATGAGAAAATTGGTGATGCACTATTGATGTAAAGTATCAATATAGGAAGTTAGCAAGGAAATTTATAATGACAAAAGAGACAATTTAGATAAAAGAAGTTGTATTGTCAGCAATGGGCTTACTCTCATGGCAGGGTCTCAGGATGCTAGCCATGGGTGACCACTACATCAATCTCTGTACCACCCTTACCCCAGCACATCCCATAGGCCGAACAGACTGTAGGTCAAAGGTCATGTAGCTGGGTTGGTGTTCCAGTCTCTCCACTGGAAGTCTTGTCTGGTCACAGGAGATGGCCAGTTCAGGATACATATCTACTATTGCTAGGGGTTTTTATCTAGGATCATTGTTTTAGTTTATAGATTTCTGGAAGTTTCCCTTGTACCAAGTTTCTAACTGACCACCACTGATCAGAAATTTAAGCTACTTTGTGATTGTCAGAAACCATAGTCATGATGCTATTAATCTTAAACATATTGGATGGACCTATTAATCATCTAATTCAAACTGAAGAAGCTGAAGTAGGAGGATCAAGTACAAGACCAACCTGGGCTACTAGTGAGTGCTAGGCGAACTTAGACAACGTAGACCCTCTATCAAAATCAAGAGTGAAAAAGTAGGTGGGGATATAACTTATAACTCAAATGTGGTTGGTAACAACATGTTAAATGTATTGCAAAGCAAAACCAAATTATTATTCAGTATTTTTTAAAAGTAGAGCAGAAACTGACTGAAAAGATAATTATTGTGAAGGATAAGGCAGGGGAAAATGAAAAGTCTCTTTAACCCATCAAATAAGTAGTAGAAATAAATTGACTTGTAAAAAGCAACTTTTAAGCTACCTCCCAAGAATTAATGAACTTTGATTGGCTTAACTACTTCTTAAAGCATTCAAGTGTGATGCCTATTCTTAATGATATGAAGATGAACAATGAAGTCCAATAATGTCCCTAGCCTAAATGAAAGAGTATTTCCTTCCTAGTTCTTCTATTTGAGTAGGTCTTCTTTTGTATTTTCTAACATTCCAGATTTCCAGTCAGTTCTTACATATTTTCCAGTGCAGCTTTGCCTTTGCGATCAGCCATCCTAGCCTCCTGGTAGGTTAAATCTGTAGGCACAGTTACTACTGGGTAGAGATTCGTTGATTCAGTCTGTGAATCCTGACAGTGTTAACAGAAGTAGGCAGAGACTATAATGAGTTTCCCAGGCAGCAGGTAAGCACTAGAAAATCAAACTCTCCATTCTTTCTAGAACCCTTTATCCAAACCGAAAGATAATTACTGTTCCTGCTTCAAATATTTTAAGTCAATAATGGAATATTTCATAAAATACCATTTCACTTACTTTCCTCTATTGAAAAACAAACAAACGATCACAAGTTTAAAGAATTCAGACACTGTTTTTTAGTTACAAGTTTATTAATCCATTATCACGGGTAGGAAATTAGCACATCCTGTCTCCTGATGATTGGATTCGTGAGTAAAGCAACTGGGACTGGGATACCTGGGAAGATGCTAGGATGCTGGGATCATTTATATCTCACTACTAATAAAATTGTTGATTCTGAGACTGAGGAGAGGACTATTCGGCCACTCAAAAGAGCATCTTTAGAAAGTACTCTAAATTAGCAAGTTCCAGTAGTGGCATTGTCTTACAAAGAAAAAAAAACTATAATGTAATAAAAAATTACTTCAAAAAGACAATTATTTAGTTATTCCTTAAACAGTTCCTTCATACAAAATAAGCAGACTCTTTATGAGTTATTACTTTTACCACAAAGTTTGTTAGATGTGGGGGGGGGCATAAAGAAAGCAATTATTATGGCTTTAAGATGATTAATATACCCAGAGGAACAGATAAGCGACAGAGCCATGATGTGATGAAATATTCGCGTAACAGACTGTTGTAAAATGCAATGAGATCAGAGAAAAGGTCTTGCTGGACAAGGCAGTCAGTGTTTCAGTTACAAACCAAGGAAATAGGTTTAAGTAGAAAACTTTATTTTAAAATAAACTTTGTATAGTTCCCAGAAGGCTGGAGAACAAGACTCAGGGACTATGAATCCAGGATTGGGGCCAAATTCACGACCCGGTATTGACAGAGAGATAACACTGATATTGTCACTACTCAACATAGAGCTAAGCTTATGGCAAAATTGCCCACCAACTGACAACTGATTATGGCACCAAAGTGGCTGGTGGGGTTGGCCATGATGCATCATTTCCTCCAAGTTCATAGTCAAGGTGACAGACGGTTTCTGGCAGAGAGTTACACTATCCTCGGCTGACACCTGCCATGAAAACCAGAAAAGTACGTGTCTGGTATGTTCTACTTAGGTAGGGGCTACCTACTTTTTTGCTTTGTCTGAAGTTATCTGAGGACTAAACTTGAACAATAAATGAAAGGTTACTAAATACTGTAACCTATTCTTTGGAGGAACCAAATGCACAAAAATTGTATTTGCTAAATTGTAAGTAGCCTGGTACTGACTGTGTGGCTTCTGTAGGAGCTCAATGGAAGGACAATAGCAAAGCAGTCACAGCAGTATACGTTTTACCCGGGAGTAAGTGTGGGGAAACTTCACTGGAATCTCAATTTTAAAATCACTGTGCAAGCATGGAGGGTGCTTCATAATGTGTGAATGTGCAATGTCTGCACAGGCTCATGTGTTGGAAACACTGGTCTCCAGGCTCGTGATTGGAAACACTGGTCTCCAGTTCATGACACTATATGAGAGGCTGTGGATCCTTTGGGAGGTGGAAGCTAGTTGAAGGAATAGGATCTGGGCGGGGTGGGGGTCTGGAGAGTGATGGTATGCCCATGCTTACTGCCTGCTCTTTCTTTACTGATTCAGCAAGCCCAGGAATAGCCAAGAATAACCTCAATCACCATGCTTTCCACACCATGATGAACTCCACCCCAAACTATGAGCACAAGTGGACTCCCCATCCCCTTAAGTTGTCTCTTGCTATGTATTTGATTGCAGTAACAAGAAAAAATATTGGTTCAATGCTAAGGAGAAGAGAATACACATTTTTCTCTAACTGTTCCTGAGTTCATAGCTGGGATAGATTCCTATAACCAAACACAGAATAACAAGAGCAAAATAAATCAACCAATTTACTTTATGTAGTGGAAGTCATGTGAGAGAATAGTAACTTAAGACTATTGTCCAGAAGTCTGCTTTAAGTAGCCTTTCAACACAAATAATTTTAGAAAAGTAATGAGATAAATAAGTGCCTTCTACAGGAGACCCTGACTGCCCTTGGGGACAAAGAGGGAGGAGGAGAGGGAGGGGGGGAGTGGGAGGGCGTTGGGAGGAGGGGCGTAAATGGAAACTTTTTATAATTTAATAAGATTACTTTCAAAAAAAATAAGTGCCTTCTATAGGCATAGATATTTAAAACGGAGCAGAATAAAATCCTTAAGAAAATTTATAGTTCACTTTTCTTCAATTTCAATATTTTTTTTGTTTATGCAACCACCCCCATGACTGTGGATGTGTGTGTGTACTCCTAGAAGTAAACAAAACTCAAGGGCAATTTTCTAAAAGTCCATCTATACTCTAGGATGCTATTCGTTTTTGATGCTCATGGAGGTTGCTTTAAGGGTTGCTTTTTCTCTGTGGTCCATTTTCCTATTCTGTATAGTTTGACTCCTTGATGGAGATATTGGTACTTGATGATAGAAAGATAGCTTGTCTTTATGGGTGCTGCTGAGAAACCACCCTAGATCCTGTCAAAGAAGCATCATCATGAGTAACTGTGTGTTACCAATGAGCAGGGTTATCACTGATAAGCACCTTCTGACACAGTCAATGCTCAGAGTACTCAGCCATACCTTTGTAGCATGATGCTGTCTTCTGTGGGAGCAAATGTATCTGTGATTTTCTTCAAGTGACAAAGTGATGCATCACCTCCTAAATGCACTACCATCTTTCTGGCAAGTTCCCTCCACTGGGAACATGGACTCTTGATGGAGAAAAGATTAATCTAAGATTAAGAGAAAAGAGAGAACATGTTTTTATAAAGTGTGAGTTTTTAGTGCATTTAATAAGATATATGGAGAACATAGTTAATCAACCACAGTCATTTTTCAAACCCATGAGTGAGTGGAGGCCCATTTTATTTTGTCAGCGCTTCGCTAAAGGACAAGGTATGCACTAATGGAAATGGATATAGAAGTTGGCTTAGACTGGGACCAATGATATTACTCACATTTCTTTGTCAACTCTCACTCCAGGAGGAAGTCACATTGAGTTATGTATTTTCTTCTCACCTAATTTTGAAGGAGAAACCTTCAGCATGATAAGTGGCTACTTTGTTTGCTTTTACTTATGCTCAGTTGCATAAGTAAACATAACATTCAGCTGAACTTAAAATTCATATCTCTTAAAGTAAAAGCAAGTTAGGAACTAAGTTCCCCAAAGAACCTCCCTTTGTTGCTAGGAAATGCAGTACTAGACAATGTGAAGATGAAAATAACCAGGGGCCGAGTGGAATCAGAAGTGATTACCGAGAGATTGCTTTGCCTGAAAGAAATGTCAGAGGCATAGCAGCCTGTGCTGGGACTGAAGACATCAATACTTACACACGGCTTCGAATTCTTGCCCCTTCTGCTGCATTAAAACTTATGATGACTGAAGATATCTGGATTTAGTGAAGAATAAAGAATTGCAGCCCACCCCCCACACACACACACACCATTTGACAAAAAGTACTCACTCTTTTTTCTCTGGTAATAAGTTTAAATTAACCACAAAAAATGCATTTAAATCAAAAGAGATATTTTAAAGGCTAACAGATATGAAGATCTGCTTTCAAATTAAATCTGTGAAAACTACTAAGCTCCATTCAAGAGAAAAAAGAAAGAAGCAACCCATGATCCTACCTGGCTGTGATGACCAAGAACCACAACAAAGACCACTGTCGGCAAGATATCCCCAAAGGTGTGAAGGGAGCATTCATACTACAGCAGTTACAAACAGTTTCTAATTGGTCTACTCAACAGGAGGAAAATAATGCCTGATTCTGGAAAGTATGTGATTTTTTTTAGAACAGTTGATTAATAATCTGTTGTGTAAGTGTAAAATATTTTCTTAATCTATTCTTCTGTTGAGGGACATGCAAGTTGTTTCCCATCTCTGGATATTATGAGTAAAACAGCAATGAACATGGCTTGGCAAGTGTTTTCCATAATAGCTGTACAAATCTGCACTCCCAATGGCAATGGATGAGTGTTCCTCTTAGTCCACATCCTCATCAGCATGAGATGTCACTTGTGTTACTGACTTAGCCATTCTAATAGATATATGATGAAATCTCAAAGTAGTTTTGATTCGCATTTCTCTGATGGCTAAGAATGTTGAACATTTCTTTAAGTGTCTCTCCATCATTTGAGTTTCTTCTATTAAGAATTCTCTATTTCAGATATGTACTCCTTATTTTGACTGAATTATTTGTTTTTTAATATCTGATTTCTTAAATTTTTATATATTTTGTATATTAGTCCTCTTATTAAATGTAGGGTTGATCTTTTTTGTTTTGTTTTTGATAAATTTATTTCTTTATTTTACATCTCAGTCACAGTTTCCCGTGCCTCCTCTCCTCTCTGACCTTCCGCCATCACTACCCAATTCTGTTCCCAACCGCCAATCCATTCCTCCTCCCTTTCCACTTAGGAAAGAGCAGGTCTCCCATGAGTATCAACAAAACATGACATATCAAATTGAGGTATGGCTAAATAACTCCCTATGTATTAAGGCTGAGTAAGGTGATCCAATATGAGGAATAGGGTCCAAAATGTCAGTGAAAGTCAGAAACATCTCCTGTTCCAACTGTTAGGAGTCCTATAAGAAGACCAAGCTACACAGCTGTAACATATATGCAAAATGCCTAGGGTGATATGACAGTATACATAAGTAACTCCAAAACCTCTATTAGGGAACTCCTACAGCTGATAAACACTTTTAATCTAGTGTCTGGATATAGGATTAACTCAAAAAGAATCAATAGCCCACCTATATATGAATGATAAATTGGATGAGAAAGAAATCAGAGAATCAACACCCTTTAAATAGCTTCAAATAATTAAACATACCTTGGTGTGGCTCTAGCCAAGCAAGTTGAAGACCTGTAAGACAAGAACTTTAAGTCTCTGAATAAAAAACTGGAGAAGATATCAGAGGATATCCCATGCTCATGAATCAGTGGAATTAACATAGTAAAATTGGTCACCCTGCCAAAAGCAATCTGCAGTTTGCAATTCATCATAAAATCCCAAAAACATTTTTTGTGTTTCCATACAAAGCTGGGTATTATCTTCTGAAGAAGTGTGAAAAATTTTGTTGGGGTTTGCATTCAATCTGTATATTGGTTTGGGTAAGATGACTATTAATTATATTACTATTAGTCCTACCGATCCATGCACATGGGAGATCTTTCCATCAAATACAAGCTTCCCAAATGGATAGAAATTTGACATCCCACAAAGTAGCTCTAAGATATATACCTCATTTTCTAGTAGTAAGATAATTTTAGAATGGAAAACAATTTATCCATTAGTATCTTCTATTCAACTGTGTAATAATTTTCTTGATCTTGTGCTCAGGAAGCTTTTGTTTGTCTTAGAGATTTAACTTTATAACAGTCTATCTGGTGTGATGCAATGAATTTCCTCACACTGTTGAGTAACATCTGATGTTACTTATCATCTATCTATCTATCTATCTATCTATCTATCTATCTATCTATCTATCTATATATTTCCTTCTTATCATATATCTTTCTATCGTATATCTATCAATGAATACATATATACATATGCAAATCCTTTTATAATTTAGAAAATCTCAAAAACATTTGCTACCATATAAATATAATGCCTATATATATATACATTATGAATTCTTTTGCCAAAATTCTTAGTAATAGTTTGTATTCTTTTTTATTTCCATCATCATATTTCTCAGTCTATTAGACTAGACTCACTATCTCCATTTTTTCAGTCTCCTTTTTCTTATCTGTCCTCTACTTTTTCTTCCTCCTCATACTCTTCCTGTTCATGCTTTTGTTGCTTTGAGATGGGTTTCTACTTTGTAGCCCTGGTTAATATCAAAATCACAATACAGATAACATTCGTTTTGAACTTGCCTCAACAGTTCTTCTGCTTCTGTCTCCCAACTGTTGAGAAGGAGCCATCGTGCACAGATTCTTTTTGTTTTCTATTTTAATGTTTTGAATGTCATAATAGGTGATCAATGACCAAGGCCAAAGACACTAGTCATATACTGATGTAGGTGGGCCTTCTGTTATGTGTTATTTTCATTGGTTAATAAAGAGACTGCCTTGGCCCTCTGATAGGACAGAAAATTAGATAGGCGGAGTAAACAGAACAGAATGCTGGGAAGAGGGCAATGAGGCAGATGCCATGGAGCCAGCCACCAGGTCAGACATGCTGAATCTTTCCTGGTAAGCCACCACCTCGTGGTGCTACACAGATTATTAGAAATAGGTTAATCAAGATGTGAGAGTTAGCCAATAACTAACTCTCTAGAGATAATGGGCCAGGCAGTGTTTAAATGAATACAATTTGTGTGTTGTTATTTCTGGGAGCCGGGTGGGATGAAAAGCAGGCCTACCCGCTGCTCCTTCTACAATCTGCTCCAATTTTTTTCTGACAAGGCTTCATATTTTTTAATGACTTGTCTGTCATTTGAATTTATTGAATTTGCATTATACTGAAAGAAGAGAATATTCATTATTTTCTACCATGTCTTCACAGTGTATTTTCTTCCACAGTCAATGCTCTAGCCATTGCTTTTCTCATTTTTAAGAATGCAGAGTTCAGAATACCTTTCTCAGAACCCAGTGAGAACACTTTTCATCTTAGTTGTCTACCTCAGTGGTCTCCACATTTGTATCTTGCTGACAATATTAAGAGAATGCCTAGTAGGTGCCAGGAAATGACTGCAGGAGCAGCAAGTAAAGTACATTTTGTTGGGGGTGGGGAGAGAACTACATCTAAAGAATCAAGGAATCAAGAAAGGAAATTTGATGGGTTGGAGTATGGCTCTGTAATAAAGTGCTTATTCATAAAGCTTTCAGTTCCATCCCAAGTGATAAGAGGGGTAAGTGTGAAGGGAAGAAGAAAGAGGAAGAAGGGAGAAAGAGAATGAGAAGGAATTGTAAATCCTAATTCAAAAAAGTTCTGATATAAATGATGTTTAAATTTTCACCAAGAACGTGTGTTGTATTATTGTTTCTTTTGTTTCCTATAAGACCTTCATAAACACTGAGATCTCCAAGTTTGTAATGTAAATATCTGCTTTAACTGCTCCATAGACTATTCCTAGAATGGAATAAAACAATTTTAAAAGGCCCTTAACATTTCTACAGGATTGGGTATATAGGTAACTGTTTGAAGCCTAGCCTAGTATGCATAACATCCAGGTTATATCCTGCAGTAATAACACAATTCTGTAATCCCAGCATTTAGGATGTAGAGAGACAGAAATATCAGAAGTTCAAGGTCATCTTCAGATACATAAAGACCCAAGGACAGTATATGATATATAAGATTTATCTCAAAAAACAAACAAAAACAAAATAAGGTTGAATGATTTAAATAGAAATCGTCACATAGAGTTCAGATTTGAATAGAAGATGTATGTATATCTTATACTTTTCGTAAGCTACTCTGCTCTTCTCAAGAATTCTGGTGATATGTTTCCATTGAGTTCACAATTTTAGTCGCCATTGTATTTTGACAGCTGAGTGTAAGCAAGTATATTTTTAATAGAAAATCAGAACAGTTTTGAGAAGCATAAAAACATAATAATACTGCCTAGTATACACAGGGCCTATTAGCAAGGATATTTTGAATATATTGCTGATGCCCTTATCAGCTCACAGCAGAACTTGACAGGACAGATGTGGCTGGCCTAGATAACCGAGAAAAGCAGGGACACAATGAGTGTAGCAGTAGGCAGAAAGGGTCACTGAGATTGTCCTCCATTTGTATTCCATTTCCTAACTATGAATATCTAAGGCATACAGTTTGTGATGTTCTTGATGGTAACAGTAAAGAACAGCAGCTACTGGACCACAAGTTGAGTCATTTTTCCCCATTTCCTCTTCTTCTTTGCTCCTAAATTTTTTAACATATATGTGAAGGAAGATGGAGACAGGCCATTGGACTAGAAGCTCATCTGAGGACATGCTCAGCTTGCATTTTTATTATACTTTACCAACAGGATACTTAAAACCCACTCTAATTTCCTATCATTTATTTTTTACTGTAAAGTCAGCCATATGAAAAATCTCTCTGTGGTATGCTTGGTAGTGTGCCTCTAACAACATTCTGCTTACTGCATGAGAGTCTCCAGGATGAAGCTGCTGAAAAACAATCAGGGTATTTTTAAAAGAAAGAAATGAAGAATCAATACAGTCCATGATTTACTTTGGGAGGAAAATGGTTTGTTATCTTGTGAATATTTTAATTGGCATTGTGTAAAGCTATCTGTTTACTGAACTGCCACAACTAGGTCACTAGTCTATGTTTTTTCCTCCCTTTGATATTCAGCCATCAAGGTTATTTTAGGACACGGAGGTTTTGTCTTTTTCAGTCTGTTAGCATTTACTTTACCAATCATCTGAAACACATTTTTTTTAATCAAAATGTCTGTAGTTTTAGGCATAAAATGTCTAATAACAAGCACTATACACTGAATAAGTTAGGAGCTTACTAGACATGAATAATAATATTTGATCATAACAGAAAGTGGACAATGCCCCTATGACATGCTAAGCACCTAGTGGTATTTCATGAGTACTTGTAGTATCACCGTGACACCGCTGCTTTTATCTCTGTGTGTTTAATAGATGAGGAAACTGGGGCACTTGAAGACCAATTATGTTAGCCTTCCTCACACCTACGTTTTTTAAGGGAAAAGATTAAATTCATGCTATTGTTTTAAAGACTCTTGTTTTCTTATTGCCCTGAAAATTAGTATTTACTAATTTTTTAGAAAAATTCAGAAACACATCAAAAGAAAGGCCTAATTCTCTGAAGTAGTCAGTTTGTGTGCTCATATATTTTTTAAAACAACAACAACAAAACAAAAACACAATGAAACAAGACCATGCTGTTTGTATAACATTGGGAAGCTTCTTTTTGTACTTTTATCATAAACGTTTTAATATTTTATTACAAAAGTTCTTTTAAAATAACATTATTTATGTATCATTAAGCATTTAAATTTAAAGCAAACACCAGTAACAAGTGGTCTTGATTAATAAGGAGATACACCATAGAATTACTTACATTACTCTCTTTATATCAGGGGAAACAATTTTTCCTGCCCATCCTAGCTGTACTGGCTGATATCCTAGAATAGGGTTCCTTCCCCACTCTTTCCCTGTCCTTAGTCACTCTGGTTGCTTTCTCTTCCTCCCCAAAAGTGCATCCCCTGCCTTACCATTATACGATTTCTATTGCCCTCTTCTATTCCTATTGCTTGAGGACAGCTGGAATATAACAGTTTCTACAGAAAATATGGTGAGTGATCCAAGAACCCCTGGAAGGTAGACTATCACAGAGTTATACAGAAACTGAAAGGAAATGGGGAATATGATGGACAGCATCACATCGACAAGTTTTGAACCTGATTTCCAAATCCAAACAAACTAAAAACTTACTACAAGCATAGTAACTTCTCATGCATGCTGTAGAGTGCCAAAACCTGGGAGGGGACTTCAGCAGAGGAAGAAATGGATCAGGGATGCTCAACTGATCATAAACAGAAGAGCTCCAAATTCTTTAAAAAGCCAGTCCAGGGTGACAAAAAGGGAAAGGTGAAAATTATCTTCTGAAATTCTTCTTTGGGAGTTTCTCTGTTGAAAGGAAAAAGAATACTGCTTGTTTGCCTGACATTTTATTCTGGTAGAATGTTGCACTCAAATTTGTTGGCAAATTCCAAACTTAGACATAAAGTATAGCAACTAGGAAGCTAATATAAATTGGGTAATTAACTCTAGGAAATTGAAAATAAGCAAATATTAATATGCATATGGTATTGGCTTGGTAATGGATTAACTTTATGTGACTCTGTGTGTGTGTGTGTGTGTGTGAGAGAGAGAGAGAGAGAGAGAGAGAGAGAGAGTGTGTCAGCATGAATTTGGACACATGGAAATGGAGAATTGAGAAGACGGCTATTGGAGGAGCAGAAATGAGGTGCTGTCGTGAAATATAAAGAAATTATCTGTAACTGTAAAATAAATAAAATTATAGGTATTATTTACTTAAAAATAGAGATTCAGAATCCAACTGTGGTAGTTCATGCCTATTATCTAAGCACTTGAGAAGTGGAAGCAGGAGGATTAGGTGTTTAAGGCCATCCTTGGCTATCCAGCAAGTTCCAAGCTTACATCATAAGAAGCAGTTGAAGAAATTGTTACCATTTATGTTTAGAGCTGCACTTCCAGTACGACTTGCACATGTGTGACTATAGTCACGTGATACTCTCATAAAATATGAGACGCACAAATGCTACCCACAGAGTGGCAGCCTTACACATGCATTCATGTAGTGACTTTATACATGCATTCATGTGGAGATCTTACATATGAAGTCATGTGGAGACTTTACACATATATTCACGTGGAGACCTTACACATGTATTCATATGGGGACCCTTACACATGCATTCACGTGGAGATCTTACACATGCATTCACGTGGAGACCTTACATATGCACTCACATAAAGACCTTACACATGTATTCACATGGAGACTTTACACATGCATTCATGTGGAGACCTAAACAATTCACATTTCTAGTTTTATTCTTGTCTAAGAGTGAGAAATGATCCCTGTGCTTTTATCACCCTTGGCATGTCTTCCACCCCACAGGGCTGCTTCTGCCAATCACTATCCTTCAAGTCCCCCTAAGATATTCATTCTCAGAGAACTTCCAAGTAGTTCTATCAGGAAACTTACGTACAAGCCTTCACCTGTCACATTTTACAGCATCTTTCTGTAAAGACCCTGTCCATGAAGGGCTTTGGGATCTATTCCCCTTTTCCCAAGAATTTCTTTTGTGTGGGTTTTGTCTGTCAGAAACCAGTCTCCCTACTGAATTACAAACATGATCTTGAAGCCAGCTCCTTAAAGAGACAATATAGCCCCCACTTCTCCACTTCTCCATTCAACCTACTTTCTGTACTTGTCCTCAGAAGATCCGTCTCCATTTAATTCTAAAACATCTTGAGAATGTGCCTGGGTGACGATTCAGTGCTTAAAAGCATTACTGCTCTTACAGAGGACCTGGGTTTGATTCCCATAAACCAGATGAGAACTGGTAACTCCAGTTCACGGGGATCAGACACTCTTTTCTGACCTGTATGGGTACTGAACACACATACATGTTACAAGGAGGACTGCTTGTTGGTTCCCGGCCATCCAGCTAGCTGAGACCTGAAATAATCACTCAGAAACTGTATGAATTATATCATTGCTTGCCCATTAGCTCTAGCTTTTTATTGGCTAACTCATATTAATTTAACCTATTTTTTATTAATCTGTATGTCATCACGAGGTCGTGGCCTACCAGCAAAGTTTTAGCAGGTCTATCTCTGGCGGCTCTATGGCATCTCTTTAAGTCTGCCTTCTTTCTTCCAGCATTCAGTTTAGTTTTCCCTGACTACCTAAGTACTGTCTTGCTATAAGTTCAAATCAGTTTCTTTATTCATTAATGGTAATCACAGGATACATAGGGGACTCCCACATCACATACATACAGGGCATTCAAGTATATGAACAAAAAACACCAGTATTTATCATAATTTTAAATCAATAAATCCTAAAAAAAAGTAATATTAGAGTCTTCTATTCTATACTCATAGTCTCCTGTCTAGTGTTTAGTTGTGTCCTGATTCTATCAATAAATACATATTCACTTCTATATTTCTTCACTGTGTGCTCTCACCCATACCCATGTTCCCTTCACTAAAATATTAATTTCATGAGCTCAAGAAAGTTTTTATTTATGCTTCTGTTTCATCTCTCAGGAAATAGCATTTGACCATCCAAAATATTTCTGAATACAGAACTATAAAATTTTTATTTAAAAACATCATAATGATTTAAAAGACATTTTAACACATAATATATGGTACATAGAGTCTGATATACATATGAATTATCCAATGTATGCTTTAAAAATCTTGCACTGATATAAATATGCAAATCAAATGTGTGAAACAAATGCAAATATATTTCACTATTTACATCACCATATTTGTATGTTATGAACACAGCAATATAACACGGTATAAAAATAGTTATGTATTTAGCAATATAAACAAAAGCAATATTTGCTGAATATCAGTTGTAACTACCTACAAATTTGAATCTGCTTCCTAACAGATGTTTCAAGACCCTCAGGAAATACAAGCACATACATTTTAGTTGAACAAGAAGTGCTTGTTTTTCTATATAAGGGATGTGGTAAAATCATTATTAAGTTTCATCATGAGAGAAACTGCACAAACTTAAGATTACATCTTGACAAAGTCTGTAACACAAGTCTCTGTTACATCGCTTTCTATGTCTTTTTTTTTCTTTACCTTGTTTTTCTTAATTTTTTTCCCATCTTCTTCACGTAGAGTATTTCCAGAAGTCAAATGAAGTATTGTCCTTAAAATTGATAGGATATTCAGAAAATAAAATAGTACTTAAGGTAATTTTTCTTCCATCAATACCTTAGCCATTATAATCTTATCCCAGAGATCCCAACTATGTGCTAACTGCACATGCTCATCAATAGTGTTCCTTCTCCAGTTGCTGCAGGTTAAAGACCATTATTCTTTGCTTTGTCTAAATATGAGAACTTTAAGAGGTCATCAACTAATCTGACAGTGAAAGGCACATAAAAAAATCAAAGGACCACTCTGCGATGAGTGCATGTGTGCCTAAGTACACACAATAAATATTTGACTATATTATGTACACCCTTCAACAAAAGTGTGATGTACATGTTTCTTCATTTGTTCTTAGTTAGAGTTATTTAACTGTGCTATAATCCTTCAGTATTCACAGGAGATTAATTCTAGAACCCTGATGTGTATTGCCAACTCTATAGCTGTCCAAGACATTTATAGAAAATGGTTTAGTGTTTGCATATATACTCTGCATATTGGCTGTGTATTTTAAACCCTGTCTATATTATTAAAATACTTACAGTGTAAATACCATGTAAATGATTATCATATTATATCGTTTAGGAGATAATGACAAAAATCTCTATGTAATTTCACATGATTTTTGCCAAATATTTTCTGTCTGAATATTATTGAATCCACAAGTGCAGGAAGCATGCATGTTGAAAGCCAACATATTTAATATGGAATTTTTACACATCTCCAAAAGAGATCAGTCTATGATCTTGAGGATGTCTTATTTGGATATATGTAGCAAAGATACTTAGCCTTTTGAACCAAAGTAGCTTATTTTCAACCTTTCATTTGTTTAAAGGCATATTCATTTATATCCATATATATACGTATGTGTGTGTACATGTACATACATATAGCCTGGAAATTACTAAAAATTTGAGATTATTTATTAAAAATTTAAGAGAATTCTAGATCTTGACCAGGAGAGAACTGAAAAGATTCTACATAAAGAGCAAAATTATTTTGAATTGATTTTATAGTTAGACAAACTTGTGTTGACACTTGTTCAATGAGACCTAAACATAAAGCCATCAGAACTGTGGCTATGGGAGGGGAGGTAGCTATACTGTTAGACATAGACTCTTGGTGACTTAGAACAATGGGGTGTCCACTGCACTGTCACGTCTCATGTACTCCTTGTACAAATACCTGCCTTTTCCTGTTCATTAGAACTACTTATGCAGATATCAGGCTGTGCTTACGACATCTCACAGCAGGCTGTGTGCCCTTTACATTAGGGCTGCTGCCAGTTTCCTTCAGACTTTGCCATGTATAAAAATGGCCATACTGTCCCTTGCCCTTGTATATAACACTATGTGGGGTCCTAACATCAAGCAAACACTGACTTCTTTCTGAAACAGCACACACTGGATGAGGATGCTATATGACCCCTTCCTGAGACATTGAGTGGTTCAGATGCCTAATTTGAACATGGTTAAGACTCTTTCAGTACAGCAGGTGTCGTGAAACTACTCTGTATGTTCTGCTTAAATAACATTCACAATCTATATTGTCTCTGCAAAATCATCCACCCGAGTCAGGTCTTCAGAATCTGCTCATACATTTTAGTATAAATTAAGTGTGTGATGTGTGCGTGCGTGTGTGTGTGTGTGTGTATAAAGTCAAATGTTCATGTATAGTTACAAGAGATGTAAGAAAGAAAGCTAATGGGGATAAGGAGATTGCTAGAAACTAGGTAAAAGGTATTGCATCTGAGATCATTCATTAAGGCCTTCTCAGAGATTAGGATTAGAGCCAAAATGACAATTACATGAAGGCAAAAATATCTCAAGATATGGGTAGAGTACACCTATCAGAGAAGACGTATGAGACAAGAATAAGATAATTGTGTGTAGTGCAAGGGCATTGCCATTATCCTATGTGTGAGGTCAGAAAGAACACAATCTGCTGATTAAGTTGCCTGGAACCTAAAACAAGGCTCAGAAACAGAAAGTGCTCAGTAATTTCTCAGAAAAGCCGAGTGTTGAGCCTGGAATTCTCCCTCAGTTTGGTGTGGAGCCATGGCAGGAGTTCAAATTTTGTTCGGGTTTTACAACTAAAACCTTCCTTTCTTTACCAAAAGGTCAGAGCAAGCCTAAGACTCCTACAGTTCTTAGCCCAGGCTTTGTAATACAGCTAGTGAAATTCCTTCCATAACC